CTGCTGCTGCTGCTGCTGCTGCTGCTGCCGCTGCTGCTGCTGCTGCTGCGTTTCAGGAGCGTTTGACGCTGCACGTGCGGCAGTGCCAGCGGCACGTGCGGGTGCACGTGCTGCGGCAGGGAGTTGTGGGGACAGAAGTTGTCGGGGAAGCAGCAATTCGAGTGAAAGCAGATTTAATTGATTTGGGATTTCCCAAAAGACAAAGTTACGCACTCCTGCACGAGGGCAAGGTCGCATGCAAAGCCATCGTGAGGCGCCCACGCAGCAGCAGCAGCAGCAGCACTGCAGCAGCAGCAGCAACAGCACAGCAGCAGCAGCAGCAGCAGCAGCAGCAGCAGCAGCAGCAGCAGCACAGCAGCAGCAGCAGTAGCAGTAGCAGCGGAGAAGGCGCCACTGCACGGAGACAGTCTGCTCCGATGGGGAGGGGCCGCTTCTGCTGGGGCGGCACGGGTGTAGAGTTTAGCGTCTGGGCGTTTAGGGTTTAGGGTTTAGGGTTTAGGGTTTAGGGTTTAGGGCTAATATTCAGTGCAGAGAGTTGAGTGTTTCGGGTTTATGCGGGGCAGCCTCCGTGTGCGTGGATTGGCGTTCCGCGTCCCGAAGCCCGCGTGCAGGTGCGAGCAGCGCACTTCGGGTTTAGGGTTTAGGGTTTAGGGTTTAGGGTTTAGGGTTTGCGCGCAGCTCTCGTTTCACCGGCTGGACACTTCGCACGTGAGTCTGGGGGAGTTCCAGATGTCGCCGCTGATCCACCAGGCGCTGCTGCATGCGCAGTACGAGGCGGAGAGTCGCGGAGAACACTTGAAGTTGGATATTGCAAACATGAGTGAACTTCAAAGACTTCGTTTTTTCGCCAAAGTCCTCGAGGGGCCCCTCAAGCTCATGACCGGCCTGGGGGCCTCCTGGGCCCCCCTCTACTTCAAAGCCACCGAACGCCGCAGCGGCAAGTGGGAGTGGCAGTACTGGAACTCCAAGGAGGAGTGCCTCGTGAGCCCTTGCATGCATGCATGCATGCATGCGTGCATGCATGCGTGCATGCATGCATGCGTGCATGCGTGCGTGCGTGGGTGCATCTGTGCCTGCTGCTGTTGCTCCTACTGCTCCTACTGCTCCTACTGCTCCTACTGCTCCTACTGCTCGTACTCCTGCTGCTGCTGCTGCTGTGCTGCTGCTGCAATTGCTGCTGCTGCTGCTGGTGTATTGCTGCAATTGCTGCTGCTGCTGCTGCTGCTGCTGCTGTTGCTGGTGTATCGCTGCAGTTGCTGCTGCTGCTGCTGCTGGTGGTGCAGTTGCTGCTGCTGCTGCTGCTGCTGGTGCAGGCCGGGGAGAAGAAGAAGGGGGGCTATTCGTTTTTGGCGATAAGTCTGGTGCTGCCGGACAAGTACGACCGAAACACTTTTTACGTGAGGTACCACAACCAGCAAGGAGTTCAAGATTTGTTTTTCCGGAGAGTGGACCGGGACCGGAACTTGTGGTCCAATGGTCTTTACGAGTTCATTGAAAAGCTGCGGGAGTATTTGGAGAAGTCCCCGGAGCTGCCGGCAGCAGAGGCGTACTTGGAGAAGAAGCGGCAGCTGGAGGCCGGCAGCAGCGGCGAGAAGCAGCGCAGCAGCAGCAGCAAGGCGGGGCGCGCAGCCCGCAGCAGCAGCAGCAGCAGCAGAAGCAAAACGCAAGACCTCTCCGACATCAAACGCATCGCCAGCCCCAGACAAACAGCAGCAACTGAACAGGAGAGGCCTCGAGTTGCTGCTCTTAAACGCAGAATGGTTGAGGGCCTAATGGCGGAGTCTTTCACGGATGACAGCAACGACGAAGACCCCGACTCGCCCCCTGCAGCAGCAGCAGCAGCAGCAGCAGCAGCAGCAGCGGCAGCGGGGGAGGGGGGCGCAGCAGCGCAGGACACCGCCGCCACACCCACGCTCAACGAACAGCCAACCAAAAGCTTCAGCTCCCAAGACTGAGCAGCCGCAAGCTGCAGCAAACAGCAAAACGCACCGCAGCAGCAGCAGCAGCAGCAGCAGCAGCGGAGTTTGCTGCACGTATGTGGGCGCTGGCGCAGCTGCTGCTGAGAGGGCCTTTTTAGATGGGGGAGTTTGTGCCCAAAGAGCTAGCAATTAGGAAATAAATGCATGCGCGACTAATTAATGAATGATTATAAATGTTACATTTAAATAAATATAATCCAAAAAAGAAGTTGTGTCTTCATTCTCCAAACTCCGCCTTTCGTCTAGACTGCAAGTGGACGCTGGGGTGTACGTGCACCCCACTGAGCGCATGCAACAGCGGCCTGCAGGCTCAGGTGTACAGACACTGGGAGGGTCTTTCTGGGATTAGCAGTTTCCTTTCTAGTTAATTAAAGCGGCTCTGAGATGATATATATATATATATATCGTGCGTACAGATGTATATATATATATTTTATTCAAGCAAATATATTTATTTATATATATTTTATTTAAATAAATATATTTATTCATTTATGTATGCATGCATTTGGGGCTGGCTGTACAGACACAAGCGCATGCGCTATCGCCCCTTCATTTGTGCATTTTCAAGTGTACGTACACTCGCCCTTCAGCTGCAAATCCAGACTTGAGCCTCAAGGCTTAAATAAATATGCATGCGAAACAATGCATGCAACTTGCATGCATGGATTCGCATGCATATTTATTTAAGCCTTGAGGCTCAAGGCTGGATGTGCAGCTGAAGGGCGAGTGTACGTACACTTGAAAATGCACAAATGAAGGGGCGATAGCGCATGCGCTTGTGTCTGTACAGCCAGCCCCAAATGCATGCAGGGTACCGAGCTCGAATTCACTGGGCGTCAATTTAATGGCCGGCT